AAAGAAAAAAATACTATTATTTACCAAACTTACTTACAGAACCTTAAAATTACGGACAAAAAATGAGCATATAAATAACGAAAACATTTAATTAGGGTAGACAATATAATAACATCTATATAAATATATGTATTATAAAGTGAATTCATTGATTGATTTATTTAAGGGCTAGAAATAATGTTTATTTACGATTGATAAAAATTATAAAATATACAACACTTAGGTGTAACACAAAACCGTAATAATTAATTACAGGCTAACTCAACATGCATAAAAACAAACTTAAGACATTCAAGTTCTGTTGCACTGACCAACAGGTTGAATCCTATAAAGTAACTTTGTCAATTCTGTAGACAAAAGACAATAAAAATACCATTGCATTTCTTAGATTACATCTTCACCAAAATGGAACACAAACAATTTGAGAAATAAAAGTTACAGATATTTTAATTTAACTCAAATTTTTTAAAACATCTATTTGTTAGTTTGTTTGCACTGGAGAGGATGCGAACCGAACCACTGCATCAATTTTAAAAATTGTTTCACCTACGAGAAGCTACTTCATATGCTGGCGACATATACTGTACTTTACGAAAAAACGGCTGGAATCATGTTTGCCAATTATATTCACCAACGACGTTATCAGGATTACCACAACGGCCATATAAGTATTCAGGATAGAAGGCGAAATTCGTTATATGTTATCTCACTGTTCTGAATAAGAGTAAGGTAAGGCACAATGTTTTAATCATTGTCGCTCCCAAAATAAAAAGAGGTAAATGTCATTGATTAAAGTGACGGTATCGACTTATTGAACATCGAGCGGCCGACCTTGCCTGATTCAAAATTAAATACACAAATTTTTTGTAAGTGGGCCAACGTCCCTATTGTTAGAACTTCGGCTGGGATCCTACATTATTACTTTTCAGCTTTTAATAGAGTAAACTCTTTCAAAATATTTGCAACTATTATTTTATCGATATCAGGGAAATACATCGAAATTTCGTCAGGCAACCATATCCTTGATAAAATGTAAAAATATAAATTAACTTAGCGAATCGACTCCGGGAACTAATAGCGATAATTAGTTAAACGATATTTATAAAAGAAACTACACCATTTTAAATATGTCTAGTATGATTCAAGTCTAGTAGTCTTATATCTCTTTGGCTGACAAGAAAAATAAAGCTTTGCACGCACTAATGATTTGCAATCGTGACTTATTGTTTCTATCGCTTCTGGCCTCACCCGTACTATGAAAGTTACTAATTGTCACGTGTTCGATTACGCGCATCACCGCAAGGATTTTTAAACAAGGAGACAGGAGAAAAAAGGTCACTAGTAAGCGCATAATCTTTAGTATATTCAATAAACAAAAAAAAAAAAGAGAAAAACGTCGAAATTTTTAATATAGTATCCATCAGAAAAGATATCAAATATTATAGAAGGCACAAAAATGAAGGAATAATACAAAGGAACAGTAATTGCGATCGTAAATTTTAAATTTCGAATCGTTCTCCGGAAATTTCGATGAGGTACTTTATATTTCTTTTTTTTCGTCTAAACAGCCATTAGGAGGGTAAAATCATCCAAACTCAGGTTGGCGGGGAACCAACGGGATGAGTAACAACGCTTTGAACACAGTACGTCGATTTTAGATAGATTGCTCAATTTCAGCTTGGCCACACACACACGATGGTTGATGGCCAGCACTACGGGTTGTTCGATTTGTATCTTAAAATTATTCGTCATTCGTAAAAAATCTTATATTATATTGTAAAAAAATATTTGTTTAACTCAAATTCAAAGTAAAATTATTTTATTTAAACATTTGAATCGCCCAACATTACCTACCACTCGATCAGGACCTCTTTTGGTTGATAAGAAAACCGAGCGAATGAAGCTCACCAGATCCAACGGATGTAATCATTTAAAAAATGTCATTACCAAATAAATATTAAAAATATAAAGACAACTGACTTTATTAGATACTAAAACTTTCTCATAAAATATTAAAAGCAAAGAAAATAAAACAATAGGGCCTTACAATATTCAGATTAATATTTAAAAGTAACAAACATACCCTTTCCCATTTAGAATCCGCTAACTTGGGAATTCAAAAAAGTTTGATTGAAAAAAAATACATCTAACTTTGTATATACATGGAAACTTTTTCTGAATTCTATTTTTAGAAATGCTTTTGATTTCTTTTTTCGCGTTGCGAGATGAGCTACTGTGTTGTATTTGTTGGAGGAGGAACGCATCCCCTTGCTATTTTCGGCCCTTGAGTTATAGCCCGACCAAACATTGAAGACCTTTTACCGAATTTCACGTTCCGTTTTACGACTGCTCCTAAGCGTTGGCCGGTTAAATTATTCAGCGAGTACCAACATTTTTTCTCGCACGAATTCAGCTTATTAATAATTTCAAATAATGAAATGGCTGTTACTTGCCGGCATTGAAGATAATTGAAATGTTAAAACTCTTTTCTTTCGTATACTATAATTGATATTGAAACGCATTTAATATACACTTTATATTTCATGGTAATTAAATAATTATTGTAGTTAAAATTTTGCATGTCAAGTTTGCGGTTATAGCCATAACAGGTTAACAGATTGGATTCCATTCCCAACTAAGTCATATATCTTTTTATGGGTATTGTGTTAAGTCTAGGCGGTCGTTATGGTTCTTCCACTGTGTTGATTTCCATAATACGTAGCAAAGAGGTTTACCTACTTGGAACCTAAGCAATGTACGTATACTTTCAATTTATTTTTATTATTTACTGTTCATATTGATGCATCTAAATAAGAGTTAAAATCAAAGTTAAAGGAAAAATATGATTATTCAAACAAACTTGTTTCAAGAACTTTTGAATCGTCCAACATTTATTCCCTATCACTTGTTCAGGACGTTCTTTAAGAAAATCACAAACTCTAATATAAGTAACGACATTCACAAGTCAAGAAAGAAAGAAAAAGTCGAGAAACTATTCCTCATATCAGCTTATTTATATTCCCACTGTTGGGATTCAGATTTCCCATATGAATACAATATCATTGGGAGACCGAGGCATAACTTAGACCCAGTGTTGGGTGGTAACATATATACAGTCTTGTGCATAACAGATGCAGTCAGGTTCAATGGCTAAAATGGCTTACCAAAAATTAAATATACTTCCAAGTAAACATTTGGTCACCCGTCCAAAAATCAGGCTTTGCGAAAGTTGCTTACATACACAATTGAGGATCGAACGCGCCGTCCGCAACGTCATTTAGCTCCTCTTCTTGATAACTTCGAGATAATTGTTGAGAATATTCGTTCGACATTATTTTCTTTGCGTCTGACGATTGGAAGGACGATAAAATATTCATTTCCATTTCTGAGATAAAATTTGTTTTTCGTTATAACTCAAAAAAAAAATACTTTTGATTTGTGTCGTTTCATCAGTCATCAATAATACGAAGTAACTTCAGTTTAAATAAGATCTTTCATTCTGATTTTATTGTCATCTTGCAAAAGTAATAAAAGCTATCAAAACGACGAGTAATTAATATTAAGTAGAGCACTAGAACATAATAAATAGGTAACAAAAAACGTTTTTTATCCCAAAAATTTTACTGATTTGCAATTGCATCGAAACAAAAGCCAAATTTCATGATTTGATCACAATTCCAAATTCAAATTCAATCACATAATCAACTCACGAATGACCCAATTAACCTCCGATTTAGTACCTCCTGTCGATTGCCGCAATATTCTGAACGCATTCCAATAACATTGCCGAATTCGAATTTGGAATTCGAAATCGCGATACGTGCGTGTTTGACACAACACTGCGACATTCACCAACACTCAACGTCATTTTCTCCAACAAGCAAGATATACCAAATAATCAACCAATTCACACAAAAGCGAATTCACTCGCGTATCTAAATATCTAACAGCGAGGGAGAGTGAAAGGGAGGACTGTATCGAGACGGAGCACCCCCATGCTTTCGCTATGAGGGGACCTCGGGAATTTTAGGTTAGTGGACATGTAGGCATATAGACGGGAACACGGCAAATTTGTTGCCTAATTTAGTTCGTGTCGTCTTGTGCTTTTCGTTTGTGCGTCAAGTCATAGTTTATCGTTGTCTCGTCTTCTTTGTCGATTGTAAAAATTAGACTTTAAGTGTGTGTGTGTACCTTGTCAGCGTAAAAGTTTAACGTTTTCGCGCGCAAATTTCAAATTTGGAATGCCAGTGGTACTCGTGACGTGAAAAACGAATCTTTTCAACACTTTTCTAGTGCTGGCGGTATAGAAAATAAAGGCGAAAAAAGTAAAACTGTGTTTGACTGTAGGTTGTTGGTAAACAGTGCCGCGTGCGTTGTGACAACAAACACAAACAACTGCTTTTTACGTGTGATTTTGGCTGCCGTACACTTTATTCTAAATTAGTGTTAACTAGACGTTCGTTTGATTTATATTATAAGTGTGTTTAAGCTCAAATTCATATTGAAATTCGTAAAATTAGTGCCAAAGTTTTAGATTCAAATGTTAAGTCCTCGTTATAATTAAACGTTTGCCGTAGACATTTCGCGCGAGACAAAAATAAATAAATATAAAAAAAAGACAAATAAAAATAAATTTGAAAAAGAACCATTCAAATAAAAAGGTATCCTGTTTATCGTACAGCACGTGCGAAGTGAGTAATCCGCGTCAGTGAGAAAAACACGGGGGTCGAGAACTGCCTACTACTGGCGGAGTAGCGATCGATATTACTACGCATTACGCGACCCGACGCACACAGGCTCACTTACGCACACGCACTAAACCCAGCCTCCCACCCCCCAAAACCTCCGCGAAAACGAAAGTAAACAGCCAAAGCTTTAAACTACAAACCGAATTTATAGATTTAGAGAAGAGTTTAGAAAGAAACTAATTTATTAAGAACTTATAGTACAAAGTAATTCTGTGATTTTTAATTAGAATTTTTTGTGTTCATACTGTGATAATGCTGGTCGGTACGAATCTGTGCGGCGTGAATCCAGGAGTACTTTTTGGATACAATATGCAGAATCAGTTGGTGAACATGAACATTGGGCAGAGGCAGAGTTCTGGGGCTGGTAGCGTGGTGGGGAGTACACCTCCTACTCCTGTGCATTCTGTTGGTCATCACGACAAGAGATCACCACCATTGACGCCGTCTGAACGTACCGGAGCTCCTCCGGGTGCCGGTAAAGATGCAGTGAAGCTGTTCATTGGCCAGATACCTCGGCATCTCGAAGAAGAAGATCTCCGGCCGATGTTCGAGGAGTTCGGCAAGATTTACGAGTTGACCGTACTTAAGGATAAGCACACCGGCATGCATAAAGGTTCGTTATGATTTATTCCCATAGAAATTGTTTGGGAGCGCCTACAAATTATATGATAAGCTTTAATATCTTAAGTTAGGTTCGGGTTGCGTCCAGAATGGTTTTATGTTAAATTACTTGGTATGATGAAACCAAGTAAAATATTTATAAATGAAGACATATTAAAGTAAGCATTGCCAAATACTTGAATGTCAACGATACAAGCAAACAGTATTAATGAGTTACCAAGACGATACGAATATGACGTAAATATAAAGATGGACAGATTGCGTTATTATTACGAATCACGTGATAATTATGTATCAGCGGCTCATTGAAATCATACAGCTGTCATTGAAATTCAATTTAATGCTCTTAAAAGTCAAAAGTTCTAAGTAATAGCAACACAAAAAATAAGTAATAGCAACATTTCACGTGTTGCATTACATTTGACGTGAAAACTAATTTCAGGAAGTGTTTACAGCTACTTTCGACGACGACACGAATTAGTAGCCGTCGACGACGATTTTTATGAGCGCAATGCTTTTTTGTTTGGAAACGAAATCGCGGCCGTGTAATAACGTTACTTATGCCAATTCAAATATGCGTTTCCACAAATTAAACAGCAGTGCTCTTATCGCAATCGTTGGTACAATAAATATGGAATGGTCACGTGACATGATGATTATACCTCTGTGCGGCGATAAAAAATATAATTCATTATAATGGCGTGTGGCGTTTATGGGCTTTACGTTGAGTGCAACGTTTGCAAATTCAGTCTCTTTTGCAACGAATGCATGAGCGAGCGATAGAATTCCCCTTTCAAAGTCACTCACGCCTTTAACGATTAAATGTATAAAACATAATTCAATTAAATGTACCCGACAATGTCCACAATGAGTTCAACTAAACCTAAACTATGAGACATATTTGTTACCTATGGATACAATAAATATATTAAATATTGTAAGTATTACCATTAACAGATGGCGTTTTCATTTAATGATTTTATTTTTACTAAAGAAATATATCTGTTGGACTGTCGAATTTGTTAACCAATCCAGGTTTGGATGTTTGTTTCTTTTTCACGCAAAAACTACTTAAGGGATTTTGATGAAATTTGGTATACGGATAATTCTTAGCCTGCATTTACATATAAAGTACTTTCTGTTACATTAAATGATGATATATGAAGAAAAGTACCGTTATGTTATTACACGCGTGCAAAGCCGCTAGTTAGACGGAAAGCTAGTTTTCTACAAGTTAAAATCGATATGCATTGTGAATGCATTTATTTAAAATAATAGTTTCATTTTTATGAGTTAAAATGGCATTGTACGTGATATGTTCGGTATTTTTACCGTAATTTTACTAATCTTCAAAATTGTATAATTTCTCCACTGTATTTCAAATCTAATTAATTGAGAGTTCAGAACAGCGCTTAGAGTAACTATAATACTTACAGTCAGTTGCACAAACGTTCAATAGGCGCCTTTAAGCTCTAATGAATGACAAATTTGTATGGGTAATGTAGCTTTAAACTAATGATAAATTTAATTGTAAAAACATTTGTGCAACTGGCTGTTAATAAGTAATTAATTGAGACTAATTATCAAATCCTCATTCGGCATCAAATGCCAGATTATTATTTTATCTATTGATAGTTCTCTGTATTTCATCTCGTGTTTATTCAGTATCATGAAAAATTTGAGTTAACTGTCTAATATTAACCGCTGAATACAGAATTCTCCCAAATTTTACATCTAGACTATTTTAAAACTGTCAAAAAACTATAAATCAGATATTTCTTTGTTCCTAATAGCCATTCGATAGTAGAATCTATTTATGGGACACCAACAGTGTATGCATATAAAGCAATATTCGCTATACAGTGTCGAATTTTTGCTTGGTTTATAATGAAACAGTATTAAGACATTGGTCCTTGGGTATTAAGCAATAATACCTTATTATCAAGTAAAACTACAAATCAAAAGGTATATAGGTTACTTTTATAATAATGAACATTGTTTCGTCAAAAACGATAATTACTATGATGTGGCGTTATAAAATGTATGTTTTAAATATAAAAAGCATTTCAAGCTGTGAAGCATGTAGCGTGTGACATTATAACAGACGCATTGCTTGCAAAGTCGAGGTTTTCCATTTGTTGATCGCGGTCAATTTCTTGTTATAACCCCGTAAGAAGTAGGTAGATAGTTATTTCATATTGACATTAATTATATGTAAATATTAGTTATTTAGTAGGTAGATAGTTATTTCATATTGACATTAATTATATGTAAATATTATTACTACTGAGAAGAATTTTGTTCTTATGGCTAAAAAACGTGTGTGGATGTGGCAAGAAATGTCCAAAGCACTTCCAGTAATTTATATTATTTTAATGAAAAATATATCTCACTTTATTCAAGTTAATTTATTTTAACACAGACAGGGAAATACTTATATAACACTAATATTATAAAGAGGTAAAGTTTCTGATTTTGTTTCTTTATTTATAGGGGGAATTTTCGAAAATACTGGCCCGATCATGGAAATTCTGTCACCTATGAGAAGCCGCATCATAGGCGGGTGACATAAACTATAATTTGAGTGACAGAAGTCGCGGCAAACAGCTAGTTATTAATGAAATTATTAAAATCATCACGAAGAAAACCTTGACAGTATTCCAGGGAAATGTGAATACGATAAATTAGAAAGAGATAACACCCATAATAGGGGCATAAAGGCCACAAACAGGGGGAGACAGAATTTTCTTTTGGGAATTAATTTTGACCGTAAATTTTCACCCTTTTAAGGGTTTCTCAACCTCTGGGGAATGTAATAACTTTCTTGTACTACGTTTGAGTTTTAGAACTTGTGCCTGTTTTATGTATTTAGTATAGAAATTCAGTAACTTATAATTAATGAGATAATGGGAGAGGAATAATAGCGTAACATGAGTTATGCTCGGTGTTCTTAAAAGGTTTTCATAAAATAAATAATTTATAAAATTTAACTCTACTAGCATAAGAACTCCTTTTGGAAACGAAGTTAAATATTAATAAAGTAGTTGTTTGAATATCAATTCAGTAGAGTTGATTTTGTATGTATTAGATATAATCTATTAATACCTAGGTGATGCAAAAATAATGACACAAGAAGAAGAGAAGAATTAAAAAATATATTTTTTGTTTTGTTATAATGCTAAAATATATTAAAAAGTTTATCTGAATAAAGATATTTTGTCTTTTACTTTGCATGAGATCGTCGTAGTGGTCGCGTTAATTATGCTAAAACATTAATTTGTAGAACTTTTGATTTAGAGAAAATTCATCTCTAATGTAATGTGCTTTAAGTTCAGTTTCTACTCTTAGCAAACTTGAAAGGTCAAGATCGACCTCTCCTTAATTAATCAATCAACCGCTGGCTATCATTCACAAGTTGGATTAGACGCCATTGCATAATTACTGGGTATCTGTAGAGCTTTAACCTAAATATTCGTACGTTATAAAGTCATAGAGAACTATCAAAGAAATTAAAAGAATGTTAGACTGGTGAATTATTATGAAAATGGAATACTAGATTCAGTTGAAACAAGGTACTGTTTGAAATAAGGAACAGAACGAAATGTTAATTGGAAATGCCTTCCGAATCTCTTTTGTTTCAGAACACTCGTTTAATAGTGATTAATGCCTGGTTTAATAACATTATTTTAACAAATATTAATTTTTTTTCGTGTTTTACAGTACATCATATATCTAATAGTACTGTAAAAATATCAAAAAGGGGAGTTCCTTTGTAGAATGGAAAATATTTCTATTTAATATTCTTCAATTTAATAATAGTAAGTTATTATTGTAATTTAATATATTGAAGCTATTATCCCTATGATGGAGGCATCCTGACAGAAATCAATTTATCAATCATCAAGATTTTTAAATCGTCCGGAGTGTAAATACACCTATAGTAACGTGCATCGATGTTACAGTACCTACTAAACAATACGTTTTAAATCTCAAAACATGAAAAAATATATTCCTTTAAATAGTAAACCTCACAAATACAGTCACTGCATCTCGTGATTATTAAAATTTCAACCGTATCTCATACACAAAACGGTCCACAAAAATTAATTTGGCTACGAGCCGTCGTCAAGTTAATTTTGTCAAAATCGACGTGTATGTTAACGAATGGATGGGTTGGTTCAAAGAATAACTGGAGTGTTTACCCCAGTTAAAGCAAAATAAACCTTAAAAAAAAGCTGTCACGTTTTCTGCTCGACTGAACGAAAACGATTGCTCATATGGCCGTTTAGCCATAGTTGCGCTTGTATCGTTAAGGTGCCATTACATTAGCGCGACAAAAGAAAAAAAGAATAATATTTTTATAATATTTGTTGCATTAGAAACCACATTTTATTTTATTTTATTTATTTATTGGACAATCAACAAGACATTCACTTAAATTGTTACATTAATTACTTGCATGCTCATATATTGAAGAGAACTCTCAATTATAGGTTGCCACGGCAAGCCTCATAAGAAAATTAAGATTAAAAAAAATATGGTAATGCAAATTACATAGCAAACGTGTTTCATGCGTGACAACAGCATAGTTCTACGACATTTTGCCTTGGATTCGAATCTAATTCACTGATACTGTTGTCATGACTAAGGACAACTTTATCCACTGCAACAACAGCTACTAAACGGCTCTTAGAGACGAATACAGTGGACTTACATTGATCATATTATATTATAGAGGCAATAAAAACACTCGGTTTAGAGAATATATCTTTATATTCTTTATATTGTATTCTTGATATGCAAATACAAAAAACTTTAAACATTTATTGATTAACTAGTGTTAAACCTCAGATAAGTAATTTATCGAGTATTCAATTAACGCACGAGTAAAATTATTTACTGTGTATCTTTTTGTGATATTAAATTTGTCATTATTATGAGGAGAAACCAATGCTTAGTGTACAAGACTTATTAATCCTCATCGGCCTATTAACATCCCCATT